CAGTCCATGATGGAGTAGGCGGATCCGGAGTCTACCTCCATCTTGCATGGTGACCCCTCTGCTAGCAGCGTCACGTGGAACTTGGTGGTTCCCTCGTCGCTTGTGTGAGCAATGGTGGTGGTCTGGTGCACCGTTCTGTTGCGGGGATATTCCTCCTCCCCGCGCCGGGACTGGTTTGAGGACCGTTTGGATGTCCTCTGGTTATCTTTGCGATTTTCCCTGAATCGTGGTCTGGGTGGTTCCGGGGCTGGATCTGTGGCTCTGCAGGCCTCTGCGATGTGGCCCCTCTTCAGGCATCGGCGGCAGGTCGCGTCCCTCCATCTGCAGTTTGCCCTGGGGTGGTCGCCTCTGCAGCTGCCGCATCGCTCTCCCCGGTCGCCATGCTGTGGGTTTTCCCGCCTGGGGGGGCGGGACACCTTGTGGACGGCCATTTCCTCATCAGACTCGGATTGAGTGGTTGCCTCGTCTGATGAGGTCGGGCCCGACTTGTGGATCTTATGGATCCCCCTTGCTTTTACCATCGCGGCGGCTGCTTGCTCAGACGTTTCAGCCGCCGTTGCCTCGTCGAGGACATCTTTGAGCGGAATCTTCTTCCGGCTGAGGAACTTCTTCTGCAGCCCCACATCTCGCATTCCAAACACAATGCGGTCCCGGATGGCATTGTCCACATTGTCGAACTCGCAGTTGGCAGCGATTTGGCGAAGCGCTGCCACGAATTCCTTGATGGATTCACCTTCCCGCTGGTTTCTTTGCTGGAAGGTGAACCTGTTTGCGATGGGGGTGCCTGTAGGTGCATAGTGCTCCTGTAGGACTTCCTGCAGGTCGTTCCAGGACATCTCCTCGATGTCCCTGGGTGCCACGAGGTCAATCGCCATCTCCAGAACGTCCGATCCGCAATGAGCCAGGAAGAGGGCTCTTTTTCTCTCCTCATCGAGGTTCTGGTATCCATTGCCTCGCAGGAACTGCCGGAATCGGACCATGTATGACCTCCACTTCTCCCGGGATGGGTCGAACGGGTTCAGCGCGGTCATCGGGGCTTGCGGGGTGGCCATTCTGGAAGATCGCTGTGGTGTGGTGATTTTGTTCGGTGGGCGATCGTGCCAAGAGTCTTGTGAAGGTTCTTCTCTCTAGTCCTTCGTCGCCAGTGTTAGATCCGGCGCAGGGAAAAGAAGACTGGACCAGCTCGATACATTAAGCAACTTTTATTCATTACAAAGTAACGAGTCAAGACTGCTGGCGCGCTGCCGGAGCTCTCCTTATATTCGCTCCCGGCAGACGCACCGCCCCTTGACAGGGATTCAAATCTCCCGCCCGATGGCTGGCAGCCAATCAGGGCGGATGCCCTTATAAGGACATAACATGCTGGTTCTCCAAACTACTTAAAATTTCCGCTACCGGTTCTCCAGAACTGGTCAGAACCTGCTGGATTTCACCCCTGCCTGGTGCCAAAAGGTTGGAGGCCACTGCTTTAGAAGATATTAACCTTCTGATATTTAAATTGGACACCCCTATACATTTTATATGTACAATACATATCAATGTGACATATACCGTTTTTTCATATACATCTTCTTCAGGGTAGAGATTACAAGGATGAAAAAAAGACAGCAAATGCTCCAAATTATTCAGCAAACAGCCAGTATAGATTGGCTGAACTGATGTAGAATGTATCCTACTGCCAATTAAAAATACAAACATTCACTAACTCTTCTGCAAAGTAAGCTCCCAACTTTTTTGTTGATTTACTTTTATGTAGTGGTATGCTTCCTGTAAGCTGTGGGTTTTCTGGATGATTGGCATGCTTAGTCCCCCTTAGAAAGGATCTTTTTGCTCTTGATCAAGTGTCAGTTTAGGCATGTCCTAATCCCTTTTCCTACTTGATCAGGACCTGGAAAACTGGCCACTGACTTGCATTTGTGGGCTTTTGTATAATCTAATGGTTCTGGATGCAACCTGGCTTAGAGAGTGCCATAAAGCACTATGAAATAATATCTAAATCTAAATGCTATGCTATTGCTAATATAATAAATACAGTCATGGCCTTACTTAATAAACACTTAAACAAGTTCTGGGCCTGAGCTAAACAAAGAGTATCTGTATAAACATGCAGACAAACAATGGAGAAAAGGCAGAAATGGCATTTCTTCTGCCTTGCCACCCTGCCCATTTTTTATATTAGTAAAATTTTGGACTAGTCAGTACAAGCCTCATAGTCACTGAGTCTTTGTCGGGAGAGACTTGTTCCAATCATGCAAAATTGAAAAGGAGAACAACCTGGAGCCCATATTCACAATGCTAAGAAAGACGACCAGCGGGAAGTCTAATATTCCATTAGCTCAGAAAAGAGCAAAGTTAAAGTTTATAGCCAACCAAATTAAGAAGCTGAGAGCTGAGGAAATGAGTGAAGTTCAAAGCAATTTTAGACCCACCAGCCAAAAGAGCTCTGATAGAATTTAATGAGATAATAAAATTCAGCTCACTGTCACTGAGTGTTTCCCACATATGGAACTGAAGTGTTCTTCATGTATGAGATTGAAGTTGCAATGTTGTATATTGTCTGTATCAATCCCAGGAGCAGTAGAAAGCCACTGAATTTGTAAAGCACTTTGAAGCCACCTGATTCAATTTCCTGCTTTGAAACAAGTCTTCCTGAAAATGCGTTATGAATCTGCTTGAATGGAATAATCTGATCGAAGCATTGTTGAATTGGAGTACTCTTTCAAAGCTCTGCATAAACTAATATATCACTGCTGTGATTCCTTGGATTTTCAAATATTGCCTCAAGGGATAACTATAAATATTGATGTAAATGTTCTTGAAAGCATGAATAATATCTTCTTCAGTGTGCTATTTTGTAAGAAAACCCTAAATTTGAGATAAATTTTAAATCTATGTAATTTTTAAAAATTCTTTTGAACCTAACAGAAGGTTGGGACTAATTACATTCAGTAAGGGGGTCAGGACTCTGTTTGCTCTTCCAGAAGGAGGATAATGCTCCAAAAACTGCATAAAAGTAAAGGTAAAGGTTCCCCTCGCACATATGTACTAGTTGTTCCCGACTCTAGGGGGTGGTACTCATCTCTGTTTCAAAGCCGAAGAGCCAGCGCTGTCCAAAGACGTCTCCATAGTCATGTTGTTGGCATGACTAAAAGAAAGTTTGAATGTGCTGAACCTGGTGAGGGCTGCAAAGAAAAAAAAATCCATAAAAAAATCCTCCTGTGTTGCTTTATGGCAGAGAAGTTGGGCCATGACTCATGATGCTGTTGATTGCTCCATTCTAAGCCCTCTGCCTCTCTCTCACTGCCCTCTCAATCACATAACCCAGATTCTCCCTTATCATTCTTTAAACTCTTTATCATCCTTCAAATCAAATTTGGTACTCAGCGACTTTCATAAGAAACACCCAAGCTCTTTTTTTTTTGATATCATCTTGAAATGGTTTGCCACCACTATCATCCAGGAATTTATTTCAACTTTCCAGCCTAGACTACAACCCAGTACTTCTCAGGTGACCCCACACAAGAACTAATAAAGATCAACCTTTATATGGATGAGAGGATGTTGTAGATGACTACAACATCCAGAAAAGCTGTGTTTTTTTTTCTGTTGAGGTTCAAGACAATGCAAATTGCCTCATCAAGATCCACATCCAGTAGCTGGGCAAGGTACTATACTTTCACATACATATAAAAAGCTAGGTTTTAAAGAATACAGGATAATAGAGTTTGAAGGGACCTTTAAGGTCTTCTAGACCAACCCCCTGCTCAAGCAGCAGACCCTATGCATTTCAGATAAGTGGCTGTCCAGTCTCTTCTTAAAAACTTCCAAGTAATGAAGCACACACAACTTCTGAAGGCAAGCCATTCCACTGGTTAATTGTTCTCACTGTTAGGAAGTTTCTCCTTAGCTCTACTTTGCTTCTTCCCTTGATTAGTTTCCATCCATTGTTTCTTGTCTTGCCTTCTGATGCTTTGGAAAATAGGTTGATCCTTTCTTCTTTGTGGCAACCCCTCAAATATTGGAACACTGCTATCATATTGCCCCTAGTCCTTCTTTTCTCTAGATTAGTGATGTGACGCCTCTCCTGCGTGAGCTGCACTGGCTCCCGGTGGTCTTCCGGGTGCGCTTCAAGGTTTTGGTTACCACCTTTAGAGCTCTTAGGACCAGGATATCTACGAGACCACCTTCTGCCACCAGTAGCCTCTCACAGACCAGTACGCTCTCATAGAGAGGGGCTCCTCAGGGTGCCGTCGGTCAAACAGTGTCAACTGGCGGTCCCCAGAGGGAGAGCCTTCTCTGTGGGGGCACCTGCCATCTGGAACGAGCTTCCCCGGAGATACAGCAAATCCCGGATCTGCGTGCTTTCTGCCTTGCCCTTAACACTTTCCTTTTCCAGCAGGCTGGCCTGGCCTAACCTCTTTTTTAAAATTGTTTTAAATTTTAAATTTGTCTTATAAATTGGGGTGTTTTAAATTTGTTTTCGGGCCATGGTATTTAATATATTTTAAATGGTTTTTAACATTTGTACTATATGTATTTTATCTTGGCTGTTCACCGCCCTGAGTCCTTCGGGAGTAGGGCAGTATATAAATTTAATAAATAAAAAATAAAAAAATAAAGTGATATCCAATTCCTGCAACCTTTTTTTTTAGTCTCCAGGTTCTTAATCATCTTAGTTGCTCTTCTCTACACTCCTTCCAAAATCCCAACATGTTTTTTTATAATGTGGTGATCAAAACTCACAGTATTCCAGGTGTGGTCTTACTAAGGTTTTATATAACAGTACCAATACTTCACATGATCTTGATTTTATCCTTCTGTTTATACAACCAAGGATTGCATTGGCTGTTTTGGCTGCTGCCGCACACTACTGGCTCATATTTAAGTGATTGACCACTAGGACTGCAAAATCCCTGTCGCAATGACTGCTTATATGGGGAAACGTTTTCCTATGCAGAGAAGCTGGCTATAGAAAGGACTGGAGGAGGCATTTGGAGAAAAGGAAGCCCAGAAAAGTAAGTTATTTACTTTGCTTCTTGTAGACAAGAGGCTTGGTGTGGGGAAAACTAGGTTGCTTATAAGCAGATTCAAGAAGTGCTTTGCTCATTGAAATAAAGTACTGTTTTGAAGCCTTGAATGATGGATATGCCTGCCAGTGTCTGTTTGGATCTACCAACCTCTCGACCAGGAGTGGTCTACCCTTGCACACGTGTTGCCATGATACCCAAGTTAAATGGTTAAATTTCTGGCCATTTGAGCAGAGTTTGAGTGTGGTTCTAAAAGGTATGGGATTAATTCACCTCCTATTAGTCTCTTGCTCTGATTCCTACCTTAAAACGCTGAGATATGTTGACACAATTATGTCATACATCAAACACATTCTTGGACTGTACCCCCAGAAGAGATAAAATAAAATCTAGCTTAGTCTCCCTCAAGTGAAACTCAGTTCATGATAGCTAACAGGATATGGACAAGTTGTTTTCTTGGCTATGATACAAAAGCGGTTTGCCATTGCTGTAATTTACTGTGTTTTGCATCTTCTTTGTTTGTACCTCTGCATTTCCTGGTAGCTTTCCATTTAAGTACTGGTCATAACATGCTACATTATGTTTTTACAAGAATAAACAGCATCAGCTAGATGCTGCCATTTGCTCTGACATACACTATAGATGCACATCTAGAAGAACTGCATTTCCCATAGTTCCTGACAGAGTACATTGCACCTACCTCTGTACTTTTTAAGACCATTACTCCAAGCCCAGGCCCTTTGCCCAGCTCCATCACTATCCCTGTATGAACTGGTATTTCAGTTCTCATTTGCAAGCAGCATGATTCATATAGGGCCTGGTGGCTCAGCAGACTAATAGCGTTGTGATTAACACCAGCTGTCTGCAATTACTGTAAGTTCGAATCTCACCAGGCTCAAGGTTGACTCAGCCTTCCATCCTTTCTAAGGTAGGTGAAATGAGGACCCGGTTTGTGGGGGCAATAAGCTGACTTTGTATAAATATACAAAAGTATGAAGGCTATTGCTTAACGCATTATAAGCCACCCTGAGTCTCCGGAGAAGGGCAGCATATAAATCAAATTTAAAATATATATATACAGACCAGAGGTTTCCAAACTTGGCAACTTTAAGACTTGTGGACTTCAGCTCCCAGAATTTCTCGGCCAAGCTTTAAATCCATGTTTGCAGACACACACACATACACACACACCGATATACATAATATAGAAATCCATTAATCTTTCGAAACTAATTTTGGTGAGGGTTTCTAGAGCCTTTGGTGAGAACATAGAAACACAGCAGTAGAGGGATTTTCCTGGAGTGCAAATGAATTCACCTGTGATAGGCCTATAAAATCTGGACCCTGAACACTGTCATTTGGGTGGGGTATGGGTTCTATTGTTTGTTCAAGAGAGAAGTGACTCAATTGTTCTGACTGACTTTGCAATGGGGAAATGGTAAGTTATTTGACAGAGGAGGAGGCATATCGGAAATCAAGAGTGAGAGCCGGAGTTATGCTTTAAGAAATGTCAGCATGTCTCACGCCAGGGGGCTAGATTAAATACAGGGGTATAGTAGCATTAGCAGGTATGGGAATAACAAAGATGTGTAAATACAGCTTTTAACTGTGGGTGTAACTGAATAGTGCGGGAAGAACTATGCCTGGCTCTACCTTACCAGCAAGTGGTGTTAATTTTTCAATTCTTTGACAGCCCCAATAATCTAGTGGGTTGGAGAGCAAGGATTTAAAATGATATATCATGAAAAGAATTAACTGCTATTTAAAAGGGATACTCTTAAGAGTTGAACTCACTTATGTGCTATACATTATAACCCTGCCTTCAGAGCTACATTAGTTTAAAACTCGAAATGTAATTCTTTTGCTCTAGGAAAATGAATTGAGTCATTTCCTACGTCTCTGAGTACCCTGATCTAGGCTTTTAGGAAACTAAAATTGACCTCCTCGTGCCCTTTGGATGTCTGTTTGAAATGTGAGGCATGAACTTGTAGAAAAGGTGACAGCTGCGAAACGGATTGTCTTTCATTTGTCATCCCCAATGGGTGCATTTCTACTGATTTCAAGAAGGAACTGTGAAATGTTGTGGGGTTGGTTTGTCTAATTTCATTTATTTTTTTCACTTTTGGCCTCCTCACAAGTTTTTAAATAGGATTGGGTAATCCTTTGGAGCAGTAGGGGGCAGTGCAGAGCTATAGAGTGGAGGACCTGGTGAATTGACCTCCGGAAAACTTCAAGGGAAATAATATAGAAGGAAGACTTCTTGCAAGGAGCCTTGAGTACACTCTGTTCGCTCATATTGTTCTTCATCCTATTGCTAATGAGAGTGGAGAGGGCTGATATTAGTTTGATTATTACTCTTCTTCCTTGTTTTCCTTGATCCCCTCCTCCCTTCATTGAAACTACAGCCTTTCCAATTTTGTCCCACCTTCTTTCTTTCTCAGCTGCTGCCGATCTTTTAAAGTCCTGGCACAAAAATCTTTACGTTGGTATGAAGGACAAAGTAAGCTGAAAAGACTCGAGGCTTCATATGCAAATAATTTTAGCATTTCCCTCAATGGCAGGAGCTTATAAAGGAAAGTTATCTCCAGTTTTATGACGTCTAATAAGAGGCAGCTTGTGAGAAGTGAAATAGCCTGTTTCTGTTGGCGAGCAGCAGCGCGATCAAAAGCTGAAATCTACAAACCAGATATATATTTGGAGCAAGGCTCAGAATGTTCTCATAGATAGCAATGGGAATTTTTTAATGAGATGATTTCTCAGACACCGAGCACATAGCCGAGGTAGGAAGTAGCAGAAGACTAATTTTAGAAGTCTACTGGAGGGAAATCTGAGGCCTTTGGGGTTAGCGGGGTGTTGGCAACACGGGTTTTCACAAGGAAAGGCTTGCTGTATCTCTTTCAACATTTGAAATATTAGTTTGTTTTCCCAGAGCTAGGAGGACAACTGGTCGTCTTCTAAAAGAAAATAAAATTTCCTCCTGTGGTATAAATTAGTCATTGGTACACCACGACTTGTGACATGGAGAGATGGGCCTTTTCTTTGAGGCCAAAATATGACAAGGGATCGGCTAGTACCTGCCCATAAACTATGTCCCTGACTGTTCAGAATGAGTTTTGCATTCCAGAATTAATTAGTTCCCTACTTTTTAATTTCCAGAGGAAAAATTCAATTTGTGGATCACAGCCAGTGGCAGTAATCTGTTTTCAAATAGGGGTGCCATTTTCCATTACTACTGCCAAATGCAGACTCTTGCCTGTTAATTCAGCATATAATATGAAGTCAGATAGCCATTTGAATGTTAAAATTACCATTTCACCATGTAAAGCTTTGAGTAGTGAGAGGTGAACTCCCTAGTTTGCTTAGCATTTAGCTTTGGGGAGGGGGAGATCCTCCTAGCTCATAGATCTACCATGAAATATATGAAATTTATACCACGTTAAGAAGAATCCAAAAGGTTATGATAGTCTTCTGATCCACCTTTCCTATGTGAATTTAGGACTTTTAAGTGGCACCACCGACTGACAGAACTTAGCCTTAAGTAAAATTGACTTCATCTGAACAATCTCAGTGGCTAGAATTCATAGATGTTGTAATTTCAAATGCCTTCCAATTTTTAGAGGATGTTGGCTTTAGCTAATTTGTGCTAATCTGAAAGTATTTTACAAAGTTTGCTGATGGTTCTGTTATTTTCTGTATATTATATCCCCATCCCCTGATCCGCAATATAAGGCAGATATACAATTTTCTTTGGATCACTCTTGGCACTGGAATGACACATTTGGAGTTGCAGTCCCCAAAGAGAGTGAGGCTAGCATAAACAAGCCCTGTAATCAGACAAAAAAAACCCCAACACCCACCTGGAATTAAATTCAAAATTCATTTGCAGTATGAGAACATTAACATTAGTACTCTCCAAGCACTTAATAGTTTCCCTTTTCTCATCCATTAAAAGGGCAGATATTAAAGCCTCTCAAAAGTTTTCAGAGGCTACTTCAAGCCCTAGGCCAAAGGTGTTGCACTTTGAAATGGGATGTTATGGGATGTTATGAATATTTTAATCAATAAGAACTGAATGTGCTTATTTGCTTTTATTCTTGGTTCTAAAAAGCCAGTCAGAACAGACTCCTTTTCCTAAATATTCCTTCTAAATGTTTTCTCTGGTCTGTTTTGTCATGCCTTGCCTTAACGTGCATTCAATTGTATAGTTTCTGATAACTTTGACTAAAGAAGACCAACAAGGTAACCTTTTCTGAAACGAGAAATGTATTGTGTTGTGTTACAAATAAGCACAACTCAACATTCTTTCTAATAGTGAGCCCCACACTTTTCTCTGTGAGTACCCTTCAGGCACTAAAATGTAACACACAACAAGGGGTATAACTTTTTTTTTTTTTTTTTTTTTTTCATTCATCATGCTTTCATTAGAAAAAGCATGGATCTGGTTTTCTGGGAAAAGATGGGAAAACAAATGTCAAATCTTTATTTCTTAATGTATAGGTTCAATTACATCAAAACAATGTATTTTCCCCAGAAGGCCATTTTTTAATACAGCCACAGCTTCATGCTGTAAGCTATTTTCTACAAGAGCCAAAAATACATTTTCACAACATAATCCATCAGAAATTCTTTGTAGGGAAACTATATTGTGATCATTAATTAAATATGATATGTATAAGAGTACATTCATCTTACTTTGTGAAATATCATTAATTTCAAGCAACATTTGCAATAGATATTCCAGTTTATTAAATTAGAAAAGAATCATTCCTCCTATAAATTCAAGGTGATTGTGGTTAAGATACATGGTTTCTTCTTCTATCAAGATATGACCAACCAGGAGGTAATATTAACAAGATCTAGTGATAACAAGAACCAGACCTAGGAGGACCATTTTGTTTTCCAAATGGTACTTACTTGGTTGTACTTTGCAGTGGGTCTGCAGTTTGTGGAACATTTATATGTTTGTGGAAAATTCTGTGTCTACTTAT